CCTCTGCAATACCACCCTGGGACTGGGACCCCCCAAGCAGCACGAGGGAAGAGCCCCTGGGTTCAAGCAGCACGAGGGATTAGAGCCCCTGCGATACCATCCTGGGCCCCAAGCAGCACCAGGGATTAGAGCCCCTGCACTCCTTCAAACCCCAAGCAACACGAGGTCACTGTCACTGCCCCCCGCACCCCGCCCCCGCATGGTCCCCCCCCCTGGCCCCCCAATTTCCCCCCCCCGGCCCCCCTGTGTGGGGTGGTGTGGTTGGGTTTGGGTTTACGGCTTATAGGGTTTAGGGTTTAGGGTTGAGGGTTTAGGGTTTAGGGTGCGCACCCCATCCCCCTGTGGTTTGGGCCCCCTGTGGGGTGGTTGGGGTTTGGGTTGAGGGTTTAGGGTTTAGGGTTTAGGGGTTTAGGGTTTAGGGGTTTAGGGTTTAGGTGGGGGGGGGGGTGCACCCCCTGTTAAACTGTGCTTAGTGCTTTGATGACAAGGTCTTAAGGGGGTTTAGGGGTCTCAGTTTAAAGGCCATAAAGGCCTTAAAGGCCAATAGGGGCGTAAAAAACTTGGAGGTCTGAAAGGGGTCCTTTTAAGGCAGGTTTTGTTACAGCAAAAGAAAAAACAAGGAAGCCCTGTTTGTCGAACACTTGCAGCCTCATTTCTTGCGGGGCACACCCCCTGTTAACCTGTGCTTAGTGCTTTGATGATAAGGTCTTAAGGGGGTTTAGGGGTATCAGATGAAAGGTCTTAAGGGCCTATATAGGGGCTTCAAAAAACTCAAAGGTCTGAAAGAGGTCTGGCGCGGGCGTCCCTTCAAGGTACGTTTTGCTACACAAAAGGAAGAAAAAAGGGCGCCCTGTTTTTCGAACACTTGCAGTCTGGAGAGCGACTTGAGAGAAAAGGGTAATCATAGTGTATACTATACTGCACTCTATACTTTCTTGGTACTTAGTGGCTTACGTGCATATTTATATATACTGACTTTGTGTCCTGTTTCTGTGCCTACTTGACGCATGCTGCAGGATGGAGCAGTACATGCGTGTTGCGTCGCTGGCTGTCTTTGGGCGCTCCTCTGGGACGTGCTGCTGGGGTATTTCATGGGATTTGGTCGGTCAATTGTCCATGCGGAAACATGTGCCCGGAGGCTTGGTCGGTTGCGGTATCGTCAGACATGTGCCACACAGACTTCTGAAATCATGCGCTGAAGTTATCAAGCAGAAATGCGAAATATGTTCAAGAAGTATGGGGCAGCCTGTCGGCAAGGCAATGTGCAAGTTTGACCATGGACCCCAAACCTTGGACTCTGAACCCCATGGCACTTGTATATTGCCTTTTGTCTTATGGAACCCATGTGCCACAAGCTTCAATCTGCGCCTGTTCACCCTAAAAAACACCACGGACCACGGGGGGGGGGGGACGGAAAAGCCTCAGCCTAAACCCCAAACCATGAACCCTATAAACCCTAAAACTTAAACCCACCAATGAACGGCGGGAGGGAGAAGGGTAAACCCGAAACCTTTGCTGCTTTAACCCTGAACCCTCAACCGTAAACCCAGCACGAACCACAGGGGGGAGAGGGGAAACCGTAAACCTATCATTACCCCAAGCCTTGAACCCTAATCAAACTCTAAACCCCACAATGAACCAATGGACCAGAGTGAAAATCCTGAACCCTACAACCCTTATAAACCCTTAAACCCTAAACCCATGCACAGATCATGAGCCACGGAGGGGGGGGGGACCCAAAACCCACCATGAACCACAGACGGACCCAAAACCCACCAGGAACACAAGGGGAGGGGGGGGGGTAGGAGGGGGGGAGGGGGGGGTGCGCCTGTATGCTGGCCCAGAAAAGCATGTAACCCTGCATGAGCTGCAACCTTTGGACAAACCCTCTCCATGTGACCCCATATAAACCCTTGTGCAAACCCGCTGCATGTGACCACACATGACCCGATCTAACCCCATGTATAACCCCAGATAGCCTTTCGCAACCCCATATATGCCCAAACAGTATCAACATTTCTATAAACAGATACACATTCCCGTGTAAGCCCGCAAATCCTTTAAATGTTATACATGTATATATATATATACATATATATATATACATACTACACGCAAACCCATCCTGCAAGTGCCACGAATAAGCAAACCTGAACCCAAGCCCCAACTCATTCCTTTCCAAATTCTGAGCTTTCCTCAATCTATCCTGCCGGAGGCGGGCGCTTCATCCAGCCCTTGGACTTCCAGAAGGGCCGTGGTTGATAGAGCAATATAAGGCTTTATGTTTTCTGTGCATGTGTCACTGTATATTTATATGTGGTGCGCATATTCCGTGTTTGATGGTATGTAGTTCTTATTAAAAGGGGTTTTCCGCGTCTGCCCGCAACATGATTTTCTTTCTTGCCGCTCTTAAGTCTTTGCAAATCGCTTATTTGAATCGCATTGTTGCGATTTCGCGGACCTTGTTGCCACATTCTATTTGCTGCTCTGCGTGTCTTGCTCTTTTGGTCCAGATATGGTGTGTCAGGGGGCCCGCTTAGCCTACTTAGCTAAGTAGGCCAACGACCCACTTGGCCCACTTAGCCACGGGGCCGATAAACCACTTAGCCCACTTAGCTATGTGGCCCGTAGGTGTACTTATAAGTTCGTCACAAAGCTTCGAAGTTAAGTGGTTTAAGTTTACTTATGGCAAGTCGAACAACTACAAAACAAGTCCGTCATCTACATACTAAGTTGGCTTAATACTTATAACTAGGGCGTTCCTCCAAGTAGTACAGACGTAGTACGCCGCGGACACGCTGGGCGTCTGAAAACACCGCAAATAGCATGGTAACGGACATCTGGGCGCATGAAAACACCGCAAATAGCATGGTAACGGACATCTGGGCGCAAATAGCATGGAAGCGGAATTCCGGACATGCGAAAACCTCGCAAATAGCATGGAAGCGGAATTCCGGACATGCTTGAAAACCTCGCAAATAGCATGGTAACGGACATCTGGGCGCTCGAAAACACCGCAAAGAGCATGGTAACGGACATGTGGTGCTTGAAAACACCGCAAATAGCATGGTAACGGACAACTGGGCGCTTGAAAACACCGCAAATAGCATAGCATGGAAGCGGAATTCCGGACATGCTTGAAGACCTCGCAAATAGCATGGAAGCGGAATTCCGGACGTGCGGACCTCTTGGGCTTCGAAAACGTCGCAAATAACATGGGCACGGAACATGCAGTGGACCGGGAAAACAGTGATGTCGATTGGAGGGAGGCAACCAGTCCTGCGCTTAGACTCGTCTCTCTGTGGGAAGTGATCAAATGTAACATGTTTGGGCGATGTCCGATTTGGATGTCCTGGGGCGCGACGACATCAATGAAGGGGAGAAGGCATCCCGCACTGTGTGTCTGTGCTAGCGTTCGGGTGCTGCATGTCTGTTGTTTGCACTGTTGCTGCGTGTAGGTGGTGTTACAACATCAAGAAACACGAGAAGGCATCCTGCACTGTCTGCGTGTGCCGCATGCGTAGAACTGAATTCATGCTTTGACATTTTGCTGTGTTGACCACCTCATGATGCGTTGCTTTACAAGCGTGCGTGCTAGCTTTGGCCCGAGAGGCGCTATTGAGTGAAACCGTGGCGCCAGCTTGGACGGTGCGCTGTATTGTAGTTCCAGGCATGTCGTACACCGGCGGGGATGCTATGCAGGCGCTGCGGCGTGGTTTCCGTGCTAGAGGTGCAGCTTGGCTGCGCCAGGAGCTTGCGAACAAGACGGTCGCGCAGTTGCGTGAGCTTGCTGGCGCTGCGGGCGCAGGACAGGGCTCTGGCGCGAGCACGCGAAACAGAGAGAGGAGCTTCTGCACGCTCTGTCGCAGCGCATTTCCGAGCAGGAGGCGTTGTGGGGAAAGCCTCTCTTTTTGTCCCGTACATCCTGTTCTGCAAGGTTAGTGTGTCATATCCTTTGTATTTCTAGGCAGGTCAGGGGTCATGATTTTCGTTGCTTGGAGCTGGCTTCAAGCGGCGCGTGCGCAGTGTCTCTTGACTAGGGCAGTTTCAGGCTTTTCTTGTCGACCTTCGAACAGGATGAAGCTGGCGCTGCGCTGCAGCCAGAGCTGCAGGGCCTGCGAGAAGGTTTTGCCGCTCATGGCGTGGCTTGGCTGCGCGGGGAGCTGGCGGAGAAGACCGTCAAGCAGTTGCGGGCGCTGGCTGGGGCTGCGGGTGTGCGGCAGAAGAGCTCTGCCGGCGGCACGCTCAACAGACAGGAGCTTCTTGACGCACTGTCGCAGTGCATTTCCGGGCAGGAGGCATCATGGGCAAAGCTTCTCGTTTGTCCTGCGCAGTGTCTCTTGACTAGGGCAGTTTCATGCATTTCTTGTCGACCTTCGAACAGGATGATGCTGGCGCTGCGCTGCAGCCAGAGCTGCAGGGCCTGCGAGAAGGTTTTGCCACTCATGGCGTGGCTTGGCTGCGCGGGGAGCTGGCGGAGAAGACCGTCAAGCAGTTGCGGGCGCTGGCTGGGGCTGCGGGTGTGCAGCAGAAGAGCTCTGCCGCCGGCACGCTCAACAAACAGGAGCTTCTTGACGCACTGTTGCAGTGCATTTCCGGGCAGGAGGCGTCATGGGCAAAGCTTCTCTTTTGTCCTGCGCAGTGTCTCTTGACTCTAGGGCAGTTTCTGGCTTTTCTTGTTGACCTTCGAACAGGATGAAGTTGGCCCTGCGCTGCAGCCAGAGCTGCAGGGCCTGCGAGAAGGTTATGCTGCTGACGGCGTGGCTTGGCTGCGCGAGGAGCTCGCGAAGCAGACTGCCCTGCATTTGCGTGAGCTTGCTGGGGCTGCGGGCGTGCAGCAGCGCTTTGAAGCTGGCCTGCGAAACAAAGAGGAGCTTCTGCACGCTCTGTTGCAGTGCCTTTCCGGGCAGGAGGCGTTGTGGGGAAAGCCTCTCTTTTGTCCTGCGCAGTGTCTCTTGACTAGGGCAGTTTCAGGCTTTTCTTGTCGACCTTCGAACAGGATGAAGCCGGCGCTGCGCTGCAGCAAGAGCTGCAGGGCCTGCGAGAAGGTTTTGCCGCTCACGGCGTGGCTTGGCTGCGCGGGGAGCTCGCGAAGAAGACCGTCAAGCAGTTGCGGGCGCTGGCTGGGGCTGCGGGTGTGCAGCAGCGCTCTGAAGCTGGCCTGCGAAACAGAGAGGAGCTTCTGCACGCTCTGTTGCAGTGCCTTTCCGGGCAGGAGGCGTCATGGGGAAGCAATATTTTCTGTCGATGCTTCGTTTCTCACCCCCCTTTACTGCCCGCCACCTGACGTTTTCATCTTGCTTGCTTTTTTTGGCTTCGACGTTTCTACGTCCGGGCAGGCAGACGTCGAGGACGTTGTCAGCGCAGATGGCTTGCGGAGTTGGGCAGCAGAGCTCGGCGAAAGCGCGGCTCGGTCTCTTCGGGGCAGGCTTCGTAAATGGCGGTTCCGAGGCGACGGGCCCAGTTTACAGCACCTGGCGGCGGAGTTGGGAGTCGCCTTTGAGAATGTGAGCAGGATCAATTTGACTGAGCGCATCGTCCTGGCGTTGTGTCCTGCCGCTGCTCCGAGCGCAAGTTCGGACATCAAGTACCACGTCTGGAGATCCCTCCGAGCAGCTCACGAAGCTGGAGCAGACACTGTTGCAGCGGTGGTCCTTGCTGCTCCTGACATCTTCGAGGATGTGAACTTGCGCAGATCTGCCGCTGCTTACTCGCTGGACATTACTGCCACAGTCTTTTGCGACAGGCATCTTTCTTCCGCTGCAGAGCAGCAGCTACTTGCGGAGCTGCTTTTGAAGGCTCTGCCGCATTGGCCAGAGGTAGATGTTGCGTTGGCCCCGGAAGTGAGCACTGCGTGGGAAGCTGCTGTAGCTAGCTTGAGAGGAGTGAGAGTGCCATCTCTTTCTGCGCCTTTGCAGCAATGTCTTCTGGCCGCTGTGCTTGAAGATCGTGCAGATCAGCGAGCAGGTGAGCGTCAGAAATTGTCTTTTTATCACTTTTCCCGAAAGCATCGCGAAGGGTTCTTCCGTGCGGAGCCCCCTGACACAACAACATAGACTGAAGTGCATAGAGTGAAGTGCATAGAGTGAAGTGCATAGAGTGAAGTGCATAGAGTGAAGTGCATAGAGTGAAGTGCATAGAGCGAAGTGCATAGAGCGAAGTGCATAGAGCGAAGTGCATAGAGTGAAGCGCATAGAGCAAAGTGCATAGAGTGAAGTGCATAGAGGCAAGTGCACAGAGTGAAGTGCACAGAGTGAAGCGCATAGAGTGAAGTGCATAGAGTGAAGTGCATAGAGTGAAGTGCATAGAGTGCATAGAGTGAAGTGCATAGAGTGAAGTGCATAGAGTGAAGTGCATAGAGTGAAGTGCATAGAGTGAAGTGCATAGAGTGAAGTGCATAGAGTGAATTGCATAGAGTGAATTGCATAGAGTTTAGTAATCAGTGAATACAAATTTCTAGATTTACGTAGAATTACTAGACCTTCGTACCCAGTCCTAGATTTCTAAATTAAAATTACTCTTTCTAAGGCGGCGGGCTGGGTTGACATCGCCAATCGGGATTGCAACCCTCTGCGGGTTTCGGCGTGGTCGCGGTGCTAAAACCGTCGTTTTTTTACGTTTCTTGATTTGCGCGGACAACCCTCTGCGGGTTTCGGCGTGGTCGCGGTGCCAAAACCGTCATTTTTTTACGTTTCTTTGTGGCCGCGGACAACCCTCTGCGGGTTTCGGCGTGGTCGCGGTGCCAAAACCGTCGTTTTTTTACGTTTCTTTGTGTCCGCGGACAACCCTCTGCGGGTGATCGCCGGGTCGCGGTGCTAAAACCGTCGTTTTTGGAACTTTTTTCCGTGGCCGCAGACAACCCTCTGTGGGTTTCGGCGTTGGCGCGGTGCCAAAACCATCGTGTTTTGGCCTTTTTTGACAAACAAACGTAACCCCTCTGCGGGTTTCGGCGTTGGCGCGGTGCCAAAACCGTCGTGTTTTTGCGTTTCTTGACATGCAAACGTAACCCCTCTGCGGGTTTTCGCGTGGTCGCGGTGCGAAAACCGTAGTGTTTTTGCGTTTTTTTGGTCGACTTGTGTAGTACAGACGTAGTACGCCGGGGACTTCCGTGGCTGGAAAATCGACTTTTGTAGTACAAACGTAGTACGCCGCGGACACGCGGAGCTTGCGTGGCTGGAAAGTCGACTTTTTGTAGTACAAACGTAGTACGCCGCGGACACGCTCCGCTTCCGTGGCTGGAAAGTCGACTTTTGTAGTACAGACGTATAGGGGACACCCGGAGCTTCCGTGGCTGGAAAGTCGACTTTTTGTAGTACAAACGTAGTACGCCGCGGACACGGAGCTTCCGTGGCTGGAAAGTCGACTTTTCTAGTACAGACGTAGTACGCCGCGGACGCCCTGGGCGTCTGAAAACACCGCATCGCAAATACCATGGTCCCCGAATTCGCTGTTTCCAAAACCATCGCAAATACCATGGTCCCCGAATTCGCTGTTTCCAAAACCATCGCAAGGAGCTTCCGTGGCTGGTTCCAAAACCATCGCAAATACCATGGTCCCCGAATTCGCTGGTTCCAAAAGCATCGCAAATACCATGGTCCCCGAATTCGCTGTTTCCAAAACCATCGCAAGGAGCTTCCGTGGCTGGTTCCAAAACCATCGCAAATACCATGGTCCCCGAATTCGCTGGTTCCAAAAGCATCGCAAATACCATGGTCCCCGAATTCGCTGGTTCCAAAAGCATCGCAAATACCATGGTCCCCGAATTCGCTGGTTCCAAAAGCATCGCAAATACCATGGTCCCCGAATTCGCTGGTTCCAAAAGCATCGCAAATACCATGGTCCCCGAATTCGCTGGTTCCAAAAGCATCGCAAATACCATGGTCCCCGAATTCGCTGGTTCCAAAAGCATCGCAAACACCATGGTCCCCGAATTCGCTGGTTCCAAAACCATGGCAAATACCATGGTCCCCGATTCGCTGCTTCCAAAACCATCGCAAATACCATGGTTAATGATTTCGCAAAATCACATGGTGCTCCAATGCCGGGCGTGCGAAAACATCGCAAATTTCATGGTCATTTAATTCCCGGCGTTGCCAACCTCGCTCTTCTGTCCTTTTTTCTTTGAAAGGCGCTCTGGAGTGTGAGCTTGGACTTCAGAGCGACTGCCGATGATGCTCATGGCTGACGGCTCTCGCGTTAGATGTTTTTGTCTTTTCTTTCATAGCATCGCGTTGACAGGACGTGCGCAGCCGAGTCGGGTGCATGCAAGTGAAGTTCATTCAGTTCAAGTCCGTTTTCTTCAGATCTATTGAATGCCAATGAAGTGTATAGAGTTGACCACAAGTGCATGGCATTCAACTCAACACACTTGAGTGCCATGCAGTTCGAGTGCATACACGTCCAGCATACAAGTGCAGTATACAAGTGAGTATGTAACCATATAAGTGCATACACTTAAGTGCATACACTTGTCCAAGTGCATACAGTTCGAGCGCACAGAGTCAAGTGCATAGACTCAACGCACCGCAAATCGATGCTTTCGGGCCAATCGTCTTCTAGTTTTTGCTTGTTCTTGCTCAACGTCTTGTGTGATTTTGAAGATATATCAATATTTGCTACTGTGTAATACCAATTAAAACCAAAAATCCCTACACCACATGTGTCAAACTTGATTTTGACGTTTATTTTGTTGTTATATGTTTGTTTTATGGTTTTTCCTGTTGGCGTAGGGGGAAATTATAAGTCTATGATGCTTCTGATCTTTGTTTGATCCTTGTTTTTGTGGCTTTATTGAACCTCCTCTGACAAGCTTTGGATCCCTACACCATATGTGTCAAACTTGATTTTGCTGTCTGTTTTGATGTGTCATTGTTTGTGTTTGTTTTTGCTCAGTGTTTTGTATGACTTTTGTTGTATGTGTGCATGTTTTTTGTTCTTTTTGCAAATGAAAACCCAACAAATCACTACCCCATGTGTGTCAGACTTGCTTTTGGTGTTTGTTTTGTATTGTTTTTTTCTTGTTTTTGCTTGTTCTTGCTCAGCGTCTTGTGTGATTTCTAAGATATATCAATATTTGCTACTGTTGAATACCAATTAAAACCCAAAACATCTCTACACCACATGTGTCAAACTTGATGTTGACTTCTATTTTGTCGAATATTTTTGGTTTATAGTTTTTCTGTTGGCTCAGGGGGTTTAAGGTTTCAGAAATGCCGACCCGAAACGCCCCAAAGACCGCCCGGAACAGGCGCACTGGTAGCGTTTGGGCCGACGTTCCTGTGAAGGCCATGAGTGTAAGGGCTTCAGGGAGTTTAATTTTACAGAAATACCGACCCGAAACGCCCCAGAGACCGCCCGGAACAGGCGCACTGGTAGCGTTTGGGCCGACGTTCCTGTTAAGCCTGAAAAAACCCTAGCCGCTAAACCCCAAAAACTCTAAACTCCTATTTTAAACCCAACCCTAAACCTAAATCTAAACCGCGCCAATTACAACCCCAAAAATCCCTACACCACATGCGTCAAACTTGATTTTGACGTCTATGTTGTTGCTCTATTTCTGTTTTATGCTTTTTCTGTTGGCGTAGGGGGTATTTATAAGTCTATGATGCTTCTGATCTTTGTTTGATCTTTGTTTTGTGGCTTTATTGAACCTACTCTGACAAGTTTTGGATCCCTACACCATATGTGTCAAACTTGACTTTGCTGTCTGTTTTGATGTGTTCTTGTTTGTGTTTGTTTTTGCTCAGTGTTTGCATGATTTGTTGTATGTATGAACACTTTTGCTCTTTTTGCAAATGAAAACCCAACAAATCCCTACCGCACGTGTGTCAAACTTGATTTTGCTGTTTGTTTTGTCTTTATTGCTATTGTTTTTGCTTGTTCTTGCTCAGCGTCTTGTGAGATTTTGAAGATCCCACCTCACCAAAAATTCTCAGGCCGCAGCACGCCCCTCCCGAGCTTCTTTGCTTCTCACCTCACCCAAAATTCTAAGGCTGCAGCACGGCCTCCTCTTTGCTCCCTAAATTCTGAGGCTGCAGCACGGCCTCCTCGGAGTCTTTGCTTCCCACCTCACCCAAAATCCTGTGGCTGCAGCACGGCCTTGCCGGGTTCTTTGCTTCCCACCTCACCCAAAATTCTAAGGCTCCAGTACGGAGTTTGACTTTCGGCATGTGCATCTCGTTTGGAAGGATGTATTCAAGAGTGCCTTGCATCCCCACCCCACTTCCTCCGACCCCTGCGAACAGGTCAGAGTTTCAACCAGAACTTGGAGGGGGGCGCGGCTTCCCAGCCGCCTACAGACCTTGATCAGTCATAATGAACCAGAGCTTGCAAGGGCTGCAGCTTCCCAGTGACCTAGAAACTTGGACTTGCTGTGCTTTGTCCCAAAGCTTGGAAGAGGTGCCGCTTCCTAGTGACCTACAGACCTTGACTTTCGGCATGTGCATCTCCCAAAGGATACAATTGTGGAGTGCTGCAGCACGCCCTTCCCGGGGTGTTTGCTTCCCACCTCACCCAAAATTCTAAGGCACGCCCCCCCACCCGGGCTTCTTTGCTTCTCACTTCACCCAAAACTCTAAGGCTCCAGCACGGCCTCCCCGGGCTCTTTGCTTCCCACCTCACCCAAAATTCTGTGGCTGCAGCACGGCCTCCCCGGCCTCTTTGCTTCCCACCTCACCCAGAATTCTAAGGCTGCAGCACGCCCCCGCCGGGCTGTTTTGCTTCTCAAACTTGATGTTGACGTCTATGGTGTTGCTAATATTTTTGTATCATGGTTTTCCTGTTGGCGTAGGGTGAAATTATAAGTCTATGATGTTTCTGACGTTTGTTTGATCTTTGTTTCTGTGGCTTTATTGAACCTACTCTGACAAGTTTTGAATCCCTACACCATATGTGTCAAACTTGATTTTGCTGAAAACCCAACAAATCACTACCCCATGTGTGTCAGACTTGATTTTGGTGTTTGTTTTGTATTGTTTTTCTTGTTTTTGCTTGTTCTTGCTCAGATTTAGACTTCTATTTTGTCGAATATGTTTGGCTTATAGTTTTTCTGTTGGCT